AAAAATATCAACTCCTAATTTTTTTGTTCAAGAATTAATTGAATGGTGAGAATTAATATTTTTAAAGACTCCATACTAATGAAAGACTTGATTGACTCTTGGTCATGGTATTATGATCCAAGTTTTCATCAATATCCTTGTGTTCAGATTGTAAAACGACTTCTTTAAAGGCTTGATTGAGTTTTGATCATGGTATTATGATTCAAGTTTTCGTCAATGTCTTTGTGTTCAAATTGTAAAATGACTTTTTTAAAGACTAGATTGAGTCTTGGTCATGGTATTATGATCCAAGTCTTCGTTAATGCCCTCGTGTTCAAATTATAAAGCAGCCTTTTTTTTCTTTTCCCTTTTGAAGTTTCAACTAATATCAACTACACCATGTTTGTGATGAATGATGTTTACATATGAACTACTATTGTGATTAGGAAGTGATGTATGTATCAATACTTTATATTAAATTTTCAATTTCACTAGAATTTTGCATGAAATGAATATATGAGATTCATGGTATATTATTTCAAGAAAAATTAATGGGCTAAAATTTACTAATAAGTGTAGTAGTCATTTAAGTAATAAAATAAGAAAGTAATATATAAAAAGAGTGTCAAATCTATAAAAATTATAATTAATTAAGTACAAAAAATAAGTAATTTTAAAATTATTTAAATAAATAAATAGAGAAAATTTTAATTAAAACTAATTAAAAAATAACAATTTAAAAAAAAATATTCATTAACACTTGACAAACAACAATGGGAAGTCATGTTGAGAAATGCCAAACATAGGAGCAGTATTTATACTTCTACTTATTTCAATCTCTCAAAAATATTATAGTTCATATGATTGTAGACAATAAAAAATAAGGAAAAAGAACCATGTGAATATCTTTTCTCTATAAAGCAAAAAATACTAAGATCAACCTTAAGATATTATTAAAGCAAAATAGAACTTCAAACTTTAAAGGTCTATTAGACTTCTTAGAGGACAAAAGTACATTAATTTTACATTTATAACATGAGTAATGAAATAAAAAAAATTGCATAATTGTATAGAAAAAATAAAAAATGGTAGTTTTCCTCTACACAACTTAAGGTAATATTTGATTATTTATTCTTTTATTATAGATAAAGAGTTATCCACTTCAGTAATAATATTAAAAATTATGTCAAAAAATTCTTAGAAGATTAGTAAGCCATGAAATTAGATGTAAAATTAATGTAATAAATGATATACACGAAGTAGGATTAAGGATTCATATCACAAAAAGTACACTAATGTACCCAATCACTACATAATCTCTTAAATTACTAATAGATATAGGGTTTGTTTAACATTCTTGTCTCTTAATGACAGAGGTTAAATGTATATTAATATATTTTTTATTATAAATTTATATTAAAAAATAAAAATTAATTTTTA